GCAGACGGACTGGCAGCAGGGGCTGGACGCACAGCCCGCTGGGGAGCAGAGGAAGGTGAGGCAGGGGGCGGGGGCGCAGCCGCGGGGCTGGCAGCAGCTGGGGGCGCCGCAGGGCTCGCAGCAGCTCTCTGGGCAGTCGTCCACCTGCCAGGAGGTGTGGGTGCAGGCGTCGGAGCAGATGGACATGATGGAGGCGGCCATGGCCATCTGGGCTGGGAGGAAGAGGAGGCAGAGGAGGTGTGATTGTGAGTGCAATGGCCGCTGGCTTTTATACCCCTCCTGTGGGTGGTGTCCTGGCCACACCCTTCGTGGTGTGATCCACTCCTGTTTGCTGAGATGTTGTCCAGCTTTGTCAACCCAGCCTCCGATAGATAGGTTTACCTGTCAAATATTAATCCTATCTGTCAGCCTGTCTGCCTGTCTATCTATCTATCTATTTTCTGTCTGTCCAGCCATCCACCCATCCTGTTGCCTGGTGGGGGTCTGGGCCCCGAGGCCAGCCATGGCACACAGGTCCTGGCAGTCAGGGTCATGGTGGGGCTCTGGGCCCCGAGGCCAGCCATGGCGCACAGGTCCTGACGGTCAGGGTCATGGTGGGGCTCTGGGCCCTGAGGCCAGCCGTGGCACACAGGTCCTGGCAGTCAGGGTCATGGTGGGGCTCTGGGCCCCGAGGCCAGCCGTGGCACACAGGTCCTGACGGTCAGGGTCATGGTGGGGCTCTGGGCCCCGAGGCCAGCCGTGGCACACAGGTCCTGACGGTCAGGGTCATGGCCCTCTCAGCACAGGTGCTCCCTCCAAAGGAGGCTGGTGCCGTGGAAGTGGCCTCCTGTGGTCTCACCCTCTCGGGGACTCCACCCCTGGTCCGCAGGGCAGTGAACCCCTGGCAGGGGCCAGGGTGGCTGGTGACTGCCAGGGCCGCTGACCCCGAGGGTCCCAGCCTGGACCCTGCACCTAGCACCCAGCTCAGAACCCGCCTCGCCGCCTCACACCTCTCCTGTGTCCGCCCTGAGTCCCCTCCCCACCCCGTGCCCCTCCCCGCCCCATGCCCCCTCCTTTCTATGATACCTATGGTCATGTGTCTCTGGCACTGGCTCAGAGAGTCCCTTCCATCCCCCACCAGGCACTTCAAAGACAGAGGGGAAGTGAGGGAGCCCTGCATCTCCAGCATCCCCTGTGCGCCCTCCTGCCCTCCGTTTCCAGTCCACCACAGTGGCTTCTATTTCTAGTTCATAGCCTACTCCCCATCCACCCATCCCCACCCTGTACCCCCCATCC